TTAGGCACTGCACCCAGTGTGTCGATCACCACTGGGACCACCTTGACTGGCTTGTGCCAGAGTCTTTGCAGTTCGATCTTTAAATCCTCATATCATGTCAGCTTTTCCAGTTGTTTCTCTTCAATCCTGCTGTCACATGGGATTGTGACATCAACGATCCATACTTTGTTTTTCAACACGATTGTGAGGTCAGGAGTATTATGCTCCAAAACTCTGTCTGTCTGAATTCGGAAGTCCCAGAGGAGTTTGGCGTGCTCATTCTCTGTAACTTTTTCCAGCTTGTGATCCCACCAGTTCTTTGTTGCAGGCAGGTGGTATTTGTGGCACAAGTTCCAATGAATCATCTGAGCAATGGTGTTGTGCCTCTGCTTATAGTCTGTCTGCGTTATCTTCTTGCAGCAGCTGAGGATGTGGTCTATTGTTTCATCTGCTTCCTTGTAGAGTCTACATTTGGGATCTGTTGTCAACTTTTCAATTCTGGCTTTGATGGCATTGGTTTGAATGGCTTGTTCTTGGGCTTCCAGAATCAGGCCCTCTGTCTCCTTTTGCAGAGTTCCATTTGTGAGCCACATGCAGGCCAAGGTCTTTAGGCACTGAACGCAGTGTGCTGATCACCATTGTCGAATTGCTTGTTCTCGGGCTGCCAGAATCAGACCCTTATTATTATTGTTGTTGTTGTTGTTGTTGTTGTTGTCTTCACATGACCAACTAAGCATTTTAAAGACCCTCATGATGACTAGTATTAAGACATAGAGTCAATCCACACTGTAAAGTTAGTGCAGTTTGACACCATATTAACTGCCACGCCTCAGTGCTATGAATCATGGGAGTCAAAGTCTTTAGCCTCCTCTGCCATAGAGTGCTGAGGCCTCACCAAACTACAGCTCCAAGAATTCCATAGCATTGAGCCATGACAGTTAAACTGTATTAATTCTTCAGTGTGAATGCACCTTAAGACATATTATCCCCACAATTAACTCAGTCAGGAGTAAAACTGTATGTAGTTGGTTCAAAATAATTAGTTACTTGTAATTAGCTTCTTTCGTGATAAATAAGGAATAACGATGTCATACTATGATTATAACACCAGAAGGCACAATTTGATTTCTTTTCAGTGTAATTGTAACTGTTTTAGTTTCTTTTACAGTTATTGAAGGGCTTCCTATTCAGACCAGCAGTTTTTAGTATTCACATGCTTTTAAACAATTAATTTAAAATTACCACTTGGGTTCTGTTTTAAAAATGTAAAGTACTACATCTTAAAAGGCGGACATTTAACAGCAGCTAGCTGCTTACTTGGGCCTTGGCCTTGGAAACATGTTTTAATCAACTGCTTTGTGAAAGTAAGATTTCAAGATCTGTTGAGGAGGTATTTGATGTTTTTGCTGCTCTTCATCTGAACACGGCTATCTTGAAGCAAGTTGATATTCTTCACTTGGAGACTATAGCTGCTATTATTATTATTATTATTATTATTATTATTATTATTATTATTATTATTATTTATACCCCTCTTTATCTCCCCCGAAGGGGACTCAAAGCAGCTTAATATAAAAGCATCAGCATAACCATTTAAAATATACAAACATACAAACATTAAAACAGGATTATATATAAACAATATATAGCCAGCCCCAGTTAGCAATCTGGCTGCAGCTCTTTGGACTAGCTGGAGTTTCCAAACACTCTTCAGAGGCAGCCCCATGTAGAGCGCATTACAGTAATCCAGACAGGATGTAACTAAGGCATGGACCACCATGGCCAGATCTGGCTTCTCGAGAAATGGGCACAGTTGGCACATAAGTTTTAATTGTGCAAAGGTCCTTCTGGTTGCTGCTGATACCTGGGCCTCCAGGTTCAATACCAAATCCAAATTGCAAACCTGTGTTTGCAGGAGGACTGTGACCCTAACCCAGCACAGGCTGGGTAAGTCCCTCCAGCAATGGAGTCCCATTAATACTCCTGGCCATCCTCTGTTGTTTCTGTGATTTCAGAATAGGGTAAATCAGCAAGAAGGAGGGGTGTTTGATGGAGCTCTGTGGCCACCGAGGAGCAGTGGTGGCAGTGACAGGGAGGAGGAGACAGTCCAGTGGAGAAAATGAATCCTGGGCCATTTAGACCATGGCATTGAATTCAGTATATATACTGTGTATGTGGGCAGATTTACACCAGGCTAACCTGCCCTGAGTGTAGACACGCCCTGAGACAGCCATCTGATTTTACCTTGAATTCTCTTCATTAGGCCTGCCAGCATACAGCTTCGCTGTATCCTGAGTTTGGAGCACTGAAGAAGTTTTGATCATTTGATCACCTGCATTGGCCAATGTCCTGATAGGAAAACTAATATGGTCTCTTATGGGCTAACCCAGAAAGATGCTTCTGTATTGCTTTGGTCTTGGGAAGTCAGACTTGGCCACGGTAGTCCATGCTCTTGTTACATCCCAAATAGACTACTGCAACATGCTGTGCACGGGGTTGTCTTTGAAGACTGTTATTGACACAGTTCCAATGGATGTAACTTTGGCTCCTGCTTGTCCAGTATTGATGGATATTTTTCAATTAGTGCAACCTGAGGATGTGGACAGGATCCTTTGAGAAGTTAGAACTACCACATGTATTCGAGATCCTTGCCCTTCCTGGCTGATCAAAACAGCCTGGGGAGGACTGGCAGAGTTGGTGAAGGTAGTAGTCAATGCCTCCTTGGAACAAGGCAAAGTTCCAACTGGCCTAAAGCAGGCAGTTGTGAGGCCTATATTTTAAAACCATCCCTGAACACTTCTATAATTGACAACTATTGGCCAGTGTCCAAGCTTCCATTTCTGAGCAAGGTTCTAGAGCATGTGGCGACCTCCCAGCTCCGGGGATTTCCAAATGAAACAGATTATTCAGATACATTTCAATCTGGTTTCAGGCCTGGTTATGGAACAGAGACAGTTTTGGTTGCCTTGGTGGATGACCTATAAAGAGAGCGAGACAGGAGAAGTGTGTCCCTGTTAGTTCTCCTGGATCTCTCAGCAGGTTTTGATACCATCCACCATGATATCCCTCTAGGTTGTCTTGCTGGGATGGGGCTGGGAGGCACTGTCTTACAGCAGCTCGGGTCCATTCTGGAGGGCCTTTGTCTTCATCTTTCTTTGATTGTTGCAAAAGTAGTTTGTGCTCAATTTAGGGAGGAGGAGACAAGAAAGGAAGGAAAATCTTGGCCTTCCCTCAAGGCTCAGGCAAAAGCAAAGTACTGCAGTTTCTCACTGATAATTGTTGCCATCTTGGCCACATTCTGATGTTGCTTGCAGACATGTGCCCCAGTTATAATCTCTGAAACAGTGGAGTGCATGTGCTAGTAGGCCGCCATATGCTCACTGAGGTACCATAACCCCAGCCTGGCTCTTAATCAGCAGCAGAGCAGAAGTGGAGCTCTTTTTTCTTTTTTTAACAACAACCGGGTGAATGAAACTTGTTCCATCCGCAAATTTGGTCCCAAGAGCCCTCTTTCGAGCAGAGCCAGCCTGGGTCCAGTTTCCATCTGAAGAGAAAGTTAGCAAACAGCCCACAGAGAAGCAAGGAGGGGGTGGTGCTGCTCTCCAATTCCAAACACAGGCTTCCAAACTTTTGTTTGCCTGATGGCCTTGGGCTTTTTATATATGTTTTTTTTTTCCTGTTGTAGCTTTCAAATCCTTTGGCAAACAGCTCACTTGCAGCTCTGCTGGCAGTCCTTGGGGGGTTCAAAATAAAGGTAGCTTGTGAACTCTGTTCTCCTTCAAAACGAATGGACTATTTTTTATTTGCCCCCTTCTACCACTTCCCCGCTGGCTGGTAGGCACATCCATGGGTGTGCTTGTGTGTGTTTTTACACGCTCGCAGCCCCCCTTCTTCCTCTTCTTTCTCCCCAAATGGCCCCCTTTGTCCACTTTTATGAATTGGAACATGCACTCCCAACGTGCTCACGCGGGGAATCCTGCCCATTAATTAAAGGACTTGTCAGCCCCAATCCTGGATTCTTACAGTGTAGGCAATGTCTCCCCTTTTAAGTGCAAAACCATAACATTACCATTTCCCCAAGTGCACTCTGTTTTAGGCTGCTTTCCTAATTAGAGGAATGATAACAGCCTTGCTGATTGGCATTATAAAAGCACTAGTTTGGCTTCATCTGTCCCAGGTGTGCTGTGTAATTTTTTTTCCCCTCCCTCCCCTCTTCTCACCGCACCTCTCTTCTTCATTGTTCCTTAAAGTTTTCATCTGAGGAATTAATTCAGATAAAAAGACATTAGAAAAGAACCTCTACTGCCAAAGCCCATCAGCGAAACCTTTTATCAAAAGTACAAACTATACAAGCTGGAGATTCTTTCTTTTCTTTTCCCTTTCTTTCTTTTTTACCCTTTTGTTTCTGAGGGTGGAGAAAAAAAAAGAAGAAGGAGAAAGAGGAGGAAAGAAGGGAGGGAGGAAAAGTGTGGTGATGGTGGGAAGAGGGGAGGGGGGAAGGAGGGGGGGAACCCACTCGAGTTCTGTCAATGGACTGAATGCGCCATTAAAACTGGCGTCACTACAAAGGTTAGCGTAGATCTAACTGTCAATACAGTGAGTGGAGTGGAGTCCAGTAAAGGGAGGGAGGGAGAGCTTTGGTGAGAAAGAGATACTTTGATATTTTGGGATGTTAGAAGGGTGAATGTGAAAAATTGGAGGTTGGGGATCTAATTACCCAACCATAATTGGGGGCTAGGGAATAAGTTGCAGTCCTCTCAACTCACCGCAGATCAATTATGTTAAGAGAACATCTGTAAGTAGAACTTAATGAGGTCCATTAGAGCAACATGTACAGCCTCCTCTAACCGTACTTGTCAGCTTCTTGGATGAGCCAAAGAGAGCTGCTAACTAGGGACCTGGTGGAGGTGTTTAAATACTGAAGGAGGCGAGGCTGGCCCACTCAGGTTTTTGTGTTCAGCTGGGGAAGAAGAAAGTAGAGGGGGGAACCGAGGGGGGAGGAGAGGGAGAGAGAGAAAGAGAAAGAGAAAGAGAGAGAGAGAGAGAGCAGGCAGGCGGCAGGCAAGCAAGCAAAAAACTGGGATTTGCTCCCATTTGATGCTACTGAAACTCAAGCTGGGGAAGGAAGGGAGGTGGTACTAGGATCAAGTACAGTTTTTCCTCTTGAACTGAGGGTGTGTTGCGCGTGTTTTGCCACCCTTCTTGTCAAGGGGACAATTGGAGCTCTCTTTGGAAACCAAAGCAAACCTCTTCCTCTCTTGATTTTGGGCTCCCAACTCAAAGGCGCCCAAGGTCCATCTCTCTCTCTCTCTCTCTCTCTCTTTCTGGGACTATCTCCAGCATCAGAGGGGAAGGAGGGCCAAATAGATAGAGACCAAGTCTATCCAGGAACTTCAAAAAGAGGAGAGCATCTCTTTATTTATATTTTTTTTGGGGGGAAGGACCAAAGTGTCCCAGCGGCGACAAACTTGAAGACTTCTTTCAGCTTGTATTTTTTTTTCTGCAGGAAGCTTTCCTTGCACAAAGGTAAGTCTTTCTTCTTCTCATCCTTCTATTCTTCTTCATCCTATTCTTCTCATCCAACCTTCGCAAATGTGTAAAGAGAAAATTAAATGGAAGGGGAAGGGATAGAGAGAGGCACCAGGTTGCAAAACACAGAGATTAGGAGTAGGGGGTTCAAAGCAACCCATGTTGTCGAGAAATTGGAGAGAGTGTAAGTTTCTTCCCTCTTTCCCCGCTGCTCTCAGTGTCCAAAATGGGGACAATAATAATAAGGGATAGGATGCAATGGATTGTTTTGGGTGAGGGCGAGAACCGGAAATGGCTTCGAGAAGAATTCGGGTCCAATTCGGGTTGCGATGTGAGTCCGGAGTTTTGGGAAAAGCGGATGGAGAGAAGCAGAGGTTTCAGTCTCTGTATTGTCGCTGGGTTGTTGTGAGTTTCCTTGTCTGCATGGCCACGTTCCAGAAGCATTTTCTCCTGACGTTTCGCCTGCATCTATGGCWGGGCATCCTCACAACCTTTGAAGATGCCCTGCCGTAGATGAAGGCGAAACGTCAGGAGAGAATGCTTCTGGAACATGGTCATACAGGAATCTCTGGGTTGTTGTGAGTTTCTTCGTCTGTATGACCACGTTCCAGAAGCATTTTCTCCTGACGTTTCGCCTGCATCTATGGCAGGGCATCCTCACAAACTGATGAAGGCAAAACGTCAAGAGAGAATGCTTCTGGAGCATGGCCCGGGAAAACTCACAACAACCCAGTTTCTGTCTCTTTTCGTCCTTGTCTGGAGAGAGAAAATCCCACTTCTTGATCCCCCCAAATCCTTCGCCTGACCTCTTCCTTCATGTCCCTTTTTTCCCAGCGATCCGATCTGAACAAAGTGGGATTCGGGTTGTTGTGTGTTTTCCGGATAACTTCCAGAAGCATTCTTTCCTGACGTTTCGCCCGCATCTCTGGCAGACAGAGATTGTGAGGTCTCAYTCTCTGAGGATGCCCTGCCATAGATGCGGGCGAAACGTCAGGAGAGAATGCTTCTGGTACAGTCCGTAGCCACACAGCCCGGGAAAACACACAACTCAGGGATTGCCTTCGACACTACAAAGTGGGATTGCAAGTCCACTTGGTCTCCACTTTGAATGCTTTTCTGCTCCCCTCTTTCAAGCCCTTGAAACTGGGTCCCCCTCACCATTCGCCTTTATTTTATTTTGTGCGTGTGATTGTGATGTGTGTGTGTGTATATATATATATATCTGTGCTGTAAATGGCATGATTGGGGAAAGAGCCTGCTTTCCAATAATTTAATTCATGACAAAACCTAATTACTGTCAGGTAATACCCTGTCAGCTTTAATGCATTTCATCAGTCATAATGAAAAGAAGAGCATTTTATGACCCATCTAATTATCATTACATTTTAGGGGGAAATGAATGGCGTGGCGCTGAATGTTAACTATTCTATTTTATTCCTTGACACATGTGGTTTGGCATCMCTCTCGCTCGCCATGAAACKCCCCCCCCCCCCACATCCCAATCCCCCTTTTTCTTTCTTTTTTGTCTTTCTTTTGTAAAAAAAAAAAGCCTTGATTGCAATCATCGCCCCCGTTCTCTTTCCCGACGAGGCGCGGGGCTTGTTTGTTCCACGCGCGAAAGTGGGGCCAAGTGTCGCGCGTGGATCCCTCTCCTCTCTCTGTCTGGGGTCAGGCTCAACCCGGGTCCCTCTCTCTCTTTCTCTCMCTCTCTCTCTCTCTCTTTCCACGCCGGCGTCCAAACCCAGGACTAATTACCGCGCATGATGTCACCGTCGGCAGAGGCATCATCCCATCATTTAATTAGTGGAATGATTTAAACAAAGATTTGCATAGGATGCACTAATCAGTTGCCATGAATTACGGAGGGAGCCGTTGCCAGCGAGGGGTAACAGATCATACACATGGAGAGGTGGTGTCTCTTCTCTTCTCTTCGGAGGGAGGGCTGCGTGGGGGGAGGAGGAGGAAGATGGCACGCGAGGATTTCATCTCCTTTCCCCTAATTAATTTAATTGTCCTCATTAGCGGTACCATTTGTTCTGGTTTGATTTCTCCCGTTCTGCGCGCCTCACCTCTCTCCCTCGCAGGCTCGGCGGCTGCTGCTGCTGCTTCGGCTGCTCTCGCGTGGCCCCCCCTCGCGAGGAACGCGTGGGTTGCGAGGAACACGCGTGACAAGGTCCCTTTGGAAGGGGAGAGGCAAAAGGGAAAGGGCTGCCTGCCTGGAACACTTTCCAAGGGTTGCTGTGAGTTTTCCGGGCTGTATGGTCATGTTCCAGAAGCATTCTCTCCTGACGTTTCGCCTGCACCTTATGGCAGGCATCCTCAGAGGTTGTGGGTTCTGTTGGAAACTAGGAAAGTGGGGTTGAATTGTCCAGGGTGGGAGAAAGAACCCTTGTCTGTTTCAGGCAGGTGTGGATGTTGCAATTTCCTCAGAGGTTGTGGGTTCTGTTGGAAACTAGGAAAGTGGGGTTGAAATGTCCAGCGTGGGAGAAAGAACCCTTGTCTGTTTCAGGCAGGTGTGGATGTTGCAATTGACCACTTTGATTAGTAATGCCCTTGCAGCTTCAAGGTCTGGCTTCTTACAGCCTGGGGGAATCATTTGTTGATATAAGCCAGATAATTTTATATATCTGTGGAAGGTCCAAGGTGGGAGAAAGAACTCTTGTCTGTTGGAGGCAAGTGTGGATGTTGCAATTGGCCACTTTGATTAGTGTTTAATGGCCTTGCAGCTTCAAGGTCTGGCTTCTTACTGCCTGGGGGAATCATTTGTTGAGATAAGCAAAGTAGTTTTATATATCTGTGGAAGGTCCAAGGTGGGAGAAAGAACTCTTGTCTGTTTCAGGCAACTGTGGATGTTGCAATTGACCACTTTGATTAGTGTTTAATGCCCTTGCAGCTCCAAGGTCTGGCTTCTTACTGCCTGGGGTAATCATTTGTTGAGATAAGCAAGATAGTTTTATATCTGTGGAAGGTCCAAGGTGGGAGAAAGAACTCTTGTGCTAATGTTGCAATTGGCTACCTTGATTGGTATGTAATGGCCTTGCAGCTTCAAGGTCTAGCTGCTTACTGCCTGGGGAATCCTTTGTTGGGAGGTGATTGGCTGGTCTTGATTATTTCTTGTCTGGAATTCCCATGTGAATTCCACTTTCCAAGATTCCCCTCTCCCCACCTCCGAAAGGGAACCGGAGGTGGAAGGGTGTGCCGCCCTTTCCCTTGTTGCCTCATGAGCCCAACCCTGATTTGGAGGGAGTGGAGTGTATGTGCCTACACACCAAAGGTGCACTCACATTGTAGAACGAATGCACTTTGACACCACTATCACCTCCATGGCTCAGTGGTACTGAATCCTGGGAGTTGTAGTTTCAAAAGGCCTTTAGCCCTCTCTCTACCCAATATCGTGCTGCTGCTTTAACGAGCTACAACTCCTACCATTCCTTAGCATTGAGCCCTTGCAGTTAAATAGGCATCGAACTGCATTCACACTGTTGTCGAAGGCTACCATGGCTGGAATCACTAAGGGCCCTTCCACACATAACCCAGAATATCTGCTTCCATATAACCCAGAATATCTGCTTTGAACTGGGTTATCTGAGTCCACACTATATCCCAGTCTGCTTTGAACTGGGTTATCTGAGTCCACACTGCCATATATCCCAGTTCAAAGCAGATAATGTGGGATTTTATTCAGCTGTGTGGAAGGGGCCTGAGTTGTTGTGAGTTTTCCAGGCTGTCTAGCCATGTTCCAGAAGCATTCTCTCCTGACATTTCACCTGCATCTATGGCAGACATCCTCAGAAGTGGTGAGGTCTGTTGGAAACTGGGCAAGATGAGCCATTCAATGCTCATCAAAGTGGCTACCTTAACACTTGCCTCCAACAGACAAGAGTTCTTTCTCCCACCCTGGACATTCCACAGATACATAAACCCTATTTTCCTAGTTTCTAACAAAACTCACAACCTCTGAGGATGCCTGCCATAGATGTGGGTGAAACGTCAGGAGAGAATGCTTCTGAAACATGGCAGTACAGCTCGGAAAACTCACAGCAACCCAGTGCAATTCATATTACAATTGAAAGGGAATTGGAGGTGGAAGGGTGTGCCACTGAATGAAAAGGAAAATGAGTTCCCTTGGAACTAAAAAGACCAGTGTCCACTAATTACAGTGATGCAAATGTATCTAAACACATAGAAGTGCAATGTATATATATATAAATACTGACATTAGTGTTTGTGCTGCTACATGCCCAAATCAGATAAACAGAGGGGGAAGGTTGTTGTGGTGATTTTGTGTTTGTGTGTGTGTGTGTGTGTAGAATGAATGACACTGCTTTAACTGCCATGGCTCCATGCTATGCAATTCTGGCTGCTGTAGTTTGGTGAAATACCAGCAGCACTCTTTGGCAAAGAAAACTAAAGAACTTCTAAAACTACAACTCCCAGGATACCATAGCCTTAAGACATGGAGGTTAAAGTGGTCTGGAACTATATTAGATGTACCACAAGTCCTGCCTGAGTGGCTTTATACTGGGTTGCTGTGAGTTTTCTGGGCTTTATGACCATGTTCCAGAAGCACACTCTCCTGACGTTTTGCCCACATCTATAACAGACATCCTCAGAGGTTGTGAGGTCTGTTGGAAACTAGGAAATTGTGGTTTATATATCTGTGGAATGTCCAGGGTGGGAGAAAGAACTCTTGTCTGTTGGAGGCAAGTGTGAATGTTGCAATTAATCACTTTGATTAGCATTGCAAAGCCTTACAGGTTCAAGGCTTAGTTTTTGTATAATTTGGTATGTAACATAAGACCCCAAAGAGAGGAGGGGGTAAGTCCCACTTGGGCATTTGTGCCTTCCATTTCTTGCTGCTTATTATTATTGTGATTGCTATTAATATTCTGTTGTTGTTGTTGTTACTATTTGAAACACATCAAGATGAGTCCACAGTAGACAAGATCACTCTGCTGGCTGTTGTTTTGGATCACACCTCAGACACTTTCAAAGTG